AAGGGGGGTCGAAGTCATTAGGAAAAGCGACAAAGTTGGCAACACTGAAAATGACACTTTTAATGTTACTGCGGATACTTTTTGGTGCTGATTAGTTATCATCACTCACTATCGAAGCATTAGCTATGTGCTGACATAGCCCTGAAAGGGCTGAATTGGTATGAAGACAGCAGCAGACAGGACCGGGCCATCATACCTCCTGGTTTATTCCTTCCTCCCAGAAATGATCCTGAAGCATTAGACACACACCTATTGTAGCTCCACAACAGCGCTGAACAAAAATCTAAAACTATTCATATGTGGATGAAGTAAAAGTCTGATACTCCCTTAAAAATAAAAAAAATATCTATAAATGTGAGTGTGACCATATGCAGACAATTACTACAGAGGATGCACCTTCATTCTAGTACACTCCCTTTTGTACAGGACTGGTGATTTACAGCATATTTGCACAATTAATAGTAACCTCACGGCTATGTTGATTATGCTGCATCTGTTAATCCAGATGCATTGCAATTAAAACCTTACCTAAATCCATATTAGCAAAAAAGACAAGAAAATAAGGTTATAGTGGATGATAGAGCAGACTGTGCTTGATTGATTAACAGCAATATTCAGTCATGAATCACACGTATCTGGTGACCAGATGCTGCTCGAAAAAGGAAATCCACGGTCACCAGTGATAAATGTTTGTGCAGCTGGTTAGGAAGCAGGGGAGATATTGGCTTCAAAGTAAGAACACTAATGTGCATCAAAATGTGCCTTTTTCTTTCCAGCTATTAATTGAAAATTTGAGAATTAATAATGGATTTTTCCGGTCGGAAATGCATCTCATCACTCAGATGGATTCCCAAGTTGTGTTGTATTAGAAAATATATTTGCCATTATTTCTAACGTTTTACCTTAAAATTCGATGTTGAATTTATACCTTTAATCTAATTCCAATTAATTAATGGCTGTTGATGTTTTTGGGCACCTTTAAATAAAAACTCATTTCGGTAGAGCCAATCGTTACCTTCTCTGTTATTTTGCTGTGAAAAAAACACAATTTTGTGCAAGAAAATAACTGTTGTGGTTCACAATCATTTTAACAAGGAATTTTTTACAGTGTAAGTAAAATTGTCTCACCACTTTTGGGTGCCAATTGCTCCGACTCATGTGTTTACCTCAGTAATACTCCTCTGTGTGGCACAAAGGCAGGATGTAATGCATGTTTGCCGCAGCAGCAGATGAAGGAAGCGCCGAGCATTTCCAAGTCAGCGTACAGTTTGGACGGCAGTGCTGTGCATTTTGCTCTGTATGTGAAGAGAAATGTGCCGATGATATGAATCTCAGTTTGGCTCTTTTATTAGGCAGCTATATCAGTGTCACTAATGATAAGCCGTGTTCCGGCTCTAACAAGTTGACAGAATTGGTTCTGGCTTATTATGCATGAAACCTGGACTGTCGTAGACCATGGCCTTAAAAACTGTATTTTCAAGGGGAATGTGCGCAGACAACTTGAGACACATAACACAGAGTCACAATTTATTTAGGAGAAAATAGGCAGTAGCGGTGTGTAATACATGCTGGTACTGCTTTTTATTGGCCCTGAATGGTACTGTAATTATTTGTTGTGCAAGACGTTTGGATGTTCTACTAATCATTCTCATGTAAATATCAGTCCATATATAAAGTTAATTTGCATGAATGGATCACTTTTAAAATTTTATTATTATTTACTTCAGAATAAATCAGTCAAAATAAAGTTAGGTGATTTTGATTTTTAAAATGGCTTAAATCAGTTTTTGCAAAATAAACCTTATCATACACGAGTTGGCCTAGTTGGAAACGATGTAGCTCAACACCATCAGTGTGCCATTGTGTGTTTAGTTTAGTTTAGTTTATTTGTCATATGCAAGTTAGCACAGGGTCAACATTGCAATGAAATGTGTTTGACGAGCAGCGGTCTCTCAGCAGCATAATACAATAGAAAAAAAAAACAAGGTATAATACAGTAAAAGCAAAATATTAGAGAGTCATGCTAAAAGTAAAAGCTTACTAAATAGATAAGTAAGTATAGATGACTAAATATAAATATATCTAAAAAAAAGTGAGTAGTAACATTAAAATGAAGTAACCAGTGCAGGTTAAATTTTACTTGTGGAGCTGCAGGGTAACATCTGTATCCTGTGTTGTGTGTGTTTAAGTGTAATGGTTGAGGTGTCGTATGGCTTGGTGGTAGAAACTGTTTTTAAGTCTCGTAGTCCGAGCAGGCAGACTCCTGTAACGCCTGCCAGATGGTAACGAGGAGAACAGCTGATGCGCTGGGTGGCTGTGGTCCTTGATGATGCTGTGTGCTTTCCGGAGGTATCTCTGGAGATAAATGTCCTGAATGGCAGGAAGCCTTGTGCCAGTGATGTGCTCTGCTGCTTTCACCACCCTCTGTAGTGATTTACGGCTGCTGGCAGAGCAGGTTCCATACCAAACTGTGATGCAGCTCGACAGCGAGCTCTCAATAGCACACCTGTAGAACTTTGATATGATACTCGTGTTCATGCCAAACTTCCATAGCTTCCTGAGGAGGTAAAGCCGCTGGCGAGCTTTCTTGATAACAGCGTCTGTGTGGAGGGTCCAGGAGAAGTCCTCAATGATGTTGACTCCAAGGAACTTGAAGCTGCTGACCCTTTCGACCATGACACCGTTGATGTGGATGGGTCGGTGTTCCCTGACTGGTCGTTTCCGGTAGTCCACTATCATTTCTTTGGTTTTGCTGATGTTGAGAGACAGGTTATTATCCAGGCACCACTCGTGCAATGCCGTCACCTCCACTCTATAGGCCGTCTCATCATTCCCTGTGATGAGGCCTATGATGGTCGTATCATCCGCAAACTTGATGATGATGTTGGACTCATGTTTTGCAACACAGTCGTGTGTGAACAGGGAATATAGGAGGGGGCTAAGCACACAACCCTGGGGCGTACCTGTGCTTAGGATGAGTGATGAGGAAGTGTGTTTACCCACTCTCACCACCTGGGGCCTGTTTGTAAGGAAGTTTAGAATCCATCTGCAGATCGGTGTTCCCAGGCCAAGGTCGACAAGCTTCGTGGCAAGTTTTGAGGGTATAATGGTGTTAAATGCCGAGCTGTGTGTGTATGGGTGAATGATTGTAACGTAAAGCACTTTGGAGTCCTCTGACTAAGAAAGGCGCTTTATAATTTCCGGTCATTTATCACTTAAAAGTGGCAGTGTGTAGTTTCCTGGTGCTAGGGGGCAGTACGAGCATTTCAGGGTAGTTTTACACCATCGCCGTGACTGTCGCTAGTTTATAAAAACATTACAGAAAATGTTGTTACCTGTGGAGCAGAAAGCATGCAACCTTGGCAGGACTTCTCAGACTTTGGTGGTCCTTCAATTAATTCCATCAAGAGTTTGCAATGCCGGTGCCAGTTTTCTAGCGCTGTACTTGGGGTCCTGCGCCTGCCGATGACGTCATCATAATATGGCAATAACACTTGGCCAAAATATTTTAGATTTTGTTCTTTCACACATGTTTTGGAAAGAGTTTGGCAGTTTTGTTATTAAACCCGTGTTTCTTACTACCTAAATTTTTTTGAATGTGGCAACATAACTTTTGTAAGTAGTACGTCCAGCCAATCATCTAGTGTGACGTTATCAACAGGCGCAGGACTCCGAGCATGACATTCCCCATAGATGCCCTACGTATTTTAGACCTGATTTTTATGGTTATATGGTACAAAGTCGCCAATATTTTTTAACAACTGGACATAATTTTATTCATTTTCAACAACATTCTGATGGATATTTCTAGAGATTAAAAGGTAAAAATACACATTGTCACTTTAATCCGTAATTTCTGTTAGCCTGGTAAGCCTTCCTATACATGTGAGTATGTAGTCTGGACATGACCCCTAGACAGAGCTCAGTCGTGGGGCAGAATCTATGACTGTCTCTGCATGTTATTGGACAACGAACATAGTAATGTACTAACCACTACGAATGTGAGTCAACGGTAGTGATGTGACGTTCACAAACGAATCAAATCTTTTGAACGCGTTTTCGAAGGGAACGATGAGAGCCGAGTCCCTGTCCCTGTTCATCTTGTCTTCCGGTAACAAACCTCTCCAGAAGTCGATAAAGCGCACCAGCTCAAACCCCAACCACCGCTGTGACGGACATAGGAAGAACCCTAACCAACCCCGTGTGCCCTCACGGACACCGCAGGAACACGTTGCTCTTAGTACCCCCTACCCCCGCTTTCGTTGCTTCACTTCGTTCCAAGGAGCCAGTCTTTTGAACGGCTCTTTGAGGTAAACGATCGACTAATGAACGGCTCCCATGAAAGAGCCATAAATCCCACCACTAGTCAATGGGGCAGCCCACCATACATTGTTGAAGAAAACGCAAATATCTCTTTTTTTTTTTCTAAATAAAGACCTTAAGTACCTCTATCTGCAATTGACTCAAAGAAAATTCTAAGTAATCCCAAGGTGATTCCGAAGACTTTTCAAAAGAGCCGTCACCATCTTTGTTTTTCACTTAGTTGCAGCAACATTCCACCCATCAAATCGATAATGTGCAGTGACTGGCAAAACACAAAAGCGATCGGGCCAATGGTAGACCTGCTGATGTTCTTATGGAGCGTGGCAAGACCGACATCATTTTGCTTTGGTTGCTGTCTGAGTTTTGATACCAAAATTTAAAACTCATATTTTTGTGGAGGTTTTGTATTCTTCAAAGAAATTCTAAAAATAACTGACTGCATTTCCTAGAGATAAATGGTCCAATTGCATTATAGGGAAAATATTCAGAAGTAAAGACAATGAGCATTATTTTTAACTGATCTTGATTAAAAATCTGTTTCTTCAGCAAAGAAAAACAACCAATTCATTTTCTCATTTCCCACCACAATAAACTGTTGTTTTCTAATATCAGAAGAGATTACTTTGAGATAAGGAAAGGAAACCTGTTGTGACAGGACATTTTGACAGGACAGCAAATCTTGTGAATGGTGAAATTTTATTCTAGTCGCTCTACAGAGAGAGAAAGAAATAGAAAGATAGAGATAAACAGTGCCACTGTACAGAAGAGCTCTTGTGAAATTCACACAAAAAATATTGTTTTTTTACTCTTTATAACTCTCCATGATGATGTATTCCTGTATGAATTTACAAGCGATTTTTACATGTGTCATTTCTAAATATATTCAAAATAGTTCCTTAAAAGTCTTTTTGAGGAAGTATTCGTTTTTTCTTTTAAAAAAAAAGCTCTATTCTTACAGCAAACAATAATGAAAGAGGTCTTGTATCTTTGGAGGGATAGCAGACTCAAAATAGAGGGTTTGCGTCTTTGTCTTCTTCTTTAGAGCTGAAGTCCAGACTACACATGACGGACAGGGAAGCAGAGCTGGTGATACAGTATTTCTCACCAGCCATTGGAGGAAGAGCACGGATGTCCCACCCATTTGAGCCAAGTCTGACCCCTGACCTGACACACCTTATTTGGGTAAAACATGATCTGATAACCAGCCGTCCAATAAAGGTGTCCGACAGGGGTCAGGCCCCGGCTTCTCCCTTATAACAGCAGCATCTTCATTTGTGTTAAACACATATGCATATGCATATATATATATATATATATATATATATAACAACTTTTTCCTCTCAAATACTGGTATGCATACACTCACACCTGGTCACAACATATCAGTGATTATAACATTATAACCAAAGTAAAAACAAACAAAAAAAGAAATAGAAACATAAAAACATAAACTTGTTACATTTGGGGTTGCATGCCATCACCTCATTATTTATGTAATGTAATTAAAATACATTTTTGCCATTAAAAAAGGGAAGGGTTGTCATCACAAGGGTATGTTTTGGGTTGTGTGTGTGTGTGTGTGTGTGTGTTTGCTTGCTTGTTTTTGAATGTAAAACAGCATCAGTTCAGTAAAAGTAGAACAAACCAAACAAATTTTTTCATGAGTCCATAAAACAAAAATGGATGCCGTTTGATATTTTCCATGTGCATATTTTTCACTCTTCAGCGTATGCAGGCAGCATGTGGCAATAAATATGATGACAATAATAATTACAGTAATAATAACATTAATAATGCAGATAAAATGCAAAAACAATTTTCATCAGTCAACATTGGGTAAGCTGATTGGAAAGCAAGGACAGGTTTTTACTGCAGTATCCCAAGAAGTACAAAACAGTGATATGACAGTGGTTACTTAAAATTTCTAAAGATCAAGCTCAAGTTTGAAACATGGTGGTTAATGCAATCAGCCATTAAAAACAATGGAAAGGGCAGACATTCCCTTTATGTAATCTGTAAGAGGGTAGCGATTCAGATTTTGGATGTTTATGTAACACCGTGTGTTCTGTTCAGGGTGTTCAGTTTGGTAAGATTTAGAGCTGCATGCAACACCCCTACCACCGTCCTCCTCATCACCTTCTTCTCCCGTCGAATCTAGGTTTGCATGAGCTCGGGCACAGAGTGGAACTGGAAGACCTTGGACTGGTACAGTAAACATCAGAAGGAGAACAGCTTCATTCTGTCTGTGGCCGCTATAAATTGTATGTGATCTTTTTTCCCTATCTTTTTTTTTTACTTTTCTTTTTTTAATGTTTTTATTTAGAAAATCGGCAGCACATCATGTTCCGGCGTTACTGCTCCTCTAAAATACACAGAATCATCCTGAGGTATTGTATTACATAGAATTTGGCTTTGTAAGACCAATCAATCAAGCAAATCAACATAAAAAACAATGGATTCATTAGATCTTGTTAGGACTGTGCCATTTTAACATTTCATGCTACAAAAAAAAAAAGAAATAATATATCTTTTGGGCACACGTGAAAGAATTATGTACTAAACAGATAAAACACAAGCAGTTAAAGAACTTAAAGTTCTGGTTAAATTTTCAAGCTTACCCAAATTCTTTCATGCATAACAAACACCACTCAGTCCTTATACATGGATACGTGGTTGATGAGTCCAAAACGGAGACCCCTTGGTTTCACCTTAACCCCACATCCCACCAAAATGAAAGAGAAACCCTAACCCAAACCCAAAAAGTGCTCCCAGTTGACCACAAGTCAAAATATTCCTGTTCCTGGACCAACTAACCAAAGTTTTACTTAACCTTAAACCAAGGAGAAAAATTAAATCTGGTACAAAATACACTGACGATGTGTCATGTTGATGGAGGAAAAGAAAAAAGGCAGGAATCGTCTGTGCATGTATGTTTTTTTTCTATATATATAGATAATTACCCTGTTTCTTAGTGACATGGAAGTCAAAAATCACACCTGTGTCCACTGTGGACAAGGTGCTGGTGAACAAAATGCTCATTTCACCCTTCTCCCTTGTTAACTTCATAGTTTCCTTTCTACCAGCCATACCAGTTCAAGGATCAAAGTTTTGATTGTATAAATATCCACCCACATCTGGCAAGACATGGTCCTTTTCTTGAACATGTGTGTCTGATGGTGTATTTGCGTGTAAATTTTCTACTCTGTCACTGAAAAAAAACAAACAAGAAACTAAAAAAACAAATCAAGAACATGCAAAATGATCAACTGCTCTCAATGGTATATTTTCAGTAAGCTTTGCTTTTTTCAAAAGCAAATGTGGGAGAAAGGGTTTTTTAAACTAATGGCTACTGTGCTACAAAATAAGCAAACACTAAAATCTTACATAGAAGGATCCGAATGCCAGAATCCCTAATAATCTTATAGTTCAATAGAATATAAAAAAGCAAGACTTTGCAATCATTTTTCTATGTGCAGTGCCTCAAATGAAATGCCCACCAGCTGTCTCAGGTTTCCCTGCTTTTTTCCCCATTGTACAAGTCAGTCTCTCGTCAGTCTGTAAACATTAGTCACTGATACATTATCCCCATCTTCTAATTGCCATGGTGTAAGCTCGGGATTAAAACACAACACCACATTCTGATTCAACTTGCAATCATTACCTGTCAACACGGACTGGTTGATCCAATCCGTCACTCACCCACCTCTCCCTTCCTTTCTCTTCTACTTAACTGCCAGGTGCCGTAGTAGCCACATTCGAGTAACAACAATCGGACTAGCTCTCTGTGACATTGCTGTCCTCCTGGGATGCCTTAATGCAGGCTCACCCATCTGGCCTCCCTGTCACACCTCTTCTCCCAAAGCTTGACAGGATAGGTGGGAAGGCAAAGGGGGAAACAGAGGGTGGGTGGTTGGAGGAGCTAGCACCTTTTTTTTGCTTCTTCTAATTCCCCTGCCATGCAATTACCGCCACCTTCAACTGGCTCCCTGCACATGTCCGTCCGATACCAATTTTACAATCCAAGAAACGGATTACTCCTCTATTTCTATCCCTTTTAGGAAACCTGCAAATTGAATGATCCTGTTTCTTTTTACACTTAGATACCTGATGGCAGAGTGCTGGCCAGGTAGCCAGCTCATTGGTACATGGGAGAGAATGGACAGAAATATCTGTAAAGAGAGTGGTAGTAATGACGTTAGACCCAAGAGGGCACAAGTTCTTTTCATTGACAAGGCTGAAGAGGAGAAACATGTTGTTTGGCTATGACATCCCATAGTGGATAACATAGTTGATAAAATATAATACAAACCCAGAGAAGAGTAAGAAGGGGAGAACACATGTCTTACATGAGCTAAACATCGGACTCCAAACTGGGAATTTTCTTATACACCCGTCTATTGCTAAACTGGGCTGAGTTTAGGACGCCCCTTGAGGCTGGGTATGCACTAGTCTTATTGGCTGAGTAAGGCATCACATGCTCTTTATTGTACATGTCATTAGCTATCCGCCCATCTCTTGAGCAGTATGAAGAGGTGGACTTATTGGAGGAGCGGAGATTGTTCGCATCATTGCGTGTTTTAATGGGTGCTGCTCCTAGGGCCACTGCAGGAGAGCCTATTGCGAGCTGTTTGTAAATGTCTGAGGAGCTACGCCCATGGACCAGTCTGCTGCTGGCGTCTTCCCTCAGCGAGTGGCTAAGAAAAGGGTTTTCTGAGCCATGGGCTGGGTACAGGGACTTGCTCCTTTTGCTTTCCTCTAGATTATGGTTAAACATCATTGATTTAGACCCGGTGCCAAAGAGTCTGCCAGAGTAGGGGCGCATGCCAAAGAGATTTGCATATTGCGAGTCAGATGTCGAGTCCAAAAAGCGATCCTTCTCTTTGAGACTGACACTTCGTGCTGGTCGACCCAGGTCTAGATCCTTGGGCTTTTCAAGCATGATGTTGTCAAAGGAGTGCTGACGACTCAGCCTCAAGCGGTTTCGCTTTTGAACATGCGGCCCATCTGTTTGTGGCCAGTACAGCCCAAACATCTCATCTGGCTGTTGCTCTTGGTGATGCATGGTGGGACTAACCAAGGGGTCAGCAAGAAGCTGGTCCTCACTAATATCATACAGGTTGGCTGTGTGGAGGCATGCCTCACACCGGTTATATGGAGAACGAGTGCCAGGTGCTGAGGCAGGTCCAGTGGGGCCATACGGTGCTCCTGGTGGGTAACTAGAAGTCACTTTAGACAAGCAGGAACGGCAGTGTGTCTGTTTGTAGCGGTCAATAGTTTCATGAGGGGACAGGGAAATATTTTTCTCTTTCAAGTTGTAATGTTTAGAGTAAGCTGAGTCTGAAAGAAGATCTGAGTCTGTATGATGCAAAGGTGAGGAGTTCAGATGAATGATGGGCTGCTCACACTTTCTGTAGTTGTCGCTGTGGTCAGAGTAAATTTCAGGATAATCCACATCGTCTGCACCAAGGCCGTGACTCTCTCTGAAGTGCATGGGGTCTGAATGAAGGCTTAGCTCTCGATCTGAGTCAATAGTGTAGATTTTCTCCCCTACTCCTCCTCTCCCACTTTGGTTGGTTCCACCACTGACCTGCTTAGTTTTCAAGTAGGACAGCTCTACCTCACTGCAATCCCTTGGGTATTTTGACGTCACAGATCTTTTTTTTAAGTTGTCCTTGGGCTTCAGGTGCTTGTTGTTTTCTGGGTCCTTGTATGAGGCTGCCCTGCTTGAACAGTCGGAAATGTCAGAGTGGGCCGCATCCTCAGGGAGGTAACGCTGAGTTTTCATTGATATTCGTGGGTCGGGCATCAGCATGTCCGGCATTGGGGCAGAGCTTGGTGGCACAGAACGGAGTGTGTCCCCTGTTTTCTTCCACAGTGTCCGAAGTGGCTTAGCGTTGGTCTGGACTGTGTCAGGACTCACAGATACCTCCACCGTATTGGGGTTGGCATCATTTAAGGTCAGAGGATGCTGGCCACCCTGAAAGATATAGTTGTTAAGGTGGTCTTTGTGGCGGTTAGCAAGGTAAGACTGAAGGTCACCAGTGTCCCCGTATATCATATCCTTAGGAGCATAGCTTCTATTGTCAGCATAGATGAAGTTGCCCTTCTCCGCCATCATATCCATGATCATAGGACCAGCTGAGTGCATGAACTCTCGTTTGGGTGAATTCATGTGGGAGCCACCCAGGTTTGACATGTTGGTCATCTGCTTGGCAGACTTGATGAGTTTAAGCATTTTGTCTTGAGGGCTGAAGTCAAGATCTGTCTTTTTCTTCATGTCAATGTGGACTCCATGGATGCAGCTCCAGATACCCTGTATACACACATACATATGTATATCCACACATAGAAGATGGATGGGGGGTGGTGGGGGTGGGGTTGTGGGGGTGGAGAAACGAAATAAAAGGAATGGGTTGCAAAAAGACAAAAGAGAATACATGTAGTACTTCCTTTACCAATATAAAAACATGTCTCTAAGCCCCATTATAATTAATATTGAATTGCCAGGGACACAGCAAGAAATAGCAAAACAAAAATTTCTAAAACTTTATTAAACGGGAAGACTTTTCATTATATCTGAAAGCTATTTCAATTGAGTCAAAGGCTGAAGGAAACTGATTTTTCTCAAACATTCAATTCTTTATTCTTTGGAGTAAAAACTCTAAACTTAGTTAGATCCAGTTTCGATAAATCTGACCTAGATTTAATACATCTTAATAACGGCTTAATATTTTTGTATTCCGTACGCATTCAAGACTGATAACCAATATCTGAGTGTGACAGAATAAAATTTTTAATGTTATTATTGTCCGTGAATGCTATTTGGCGTCGATCAGTGACATCACTCACTGCCGAAATGGTTTTCTGATGTCTTAGTAAACTCCTGAAAGCACCCATTTTTTTTTTACGGAGACACAATGAGAAGATCAAGTCATCTCACTTTCCCTGTCATCTTCACCCTCCCAGAAATTTCCAGGAACTCCGATGGATACACAGCTGATGATGCCTAATTTATACGTTTTCATCATAAAAAGCAGATTAGAAACACAAACTAATATTTTACAAGCATCATTTTAAGCATTCAAATAAAACACCACATCTTCATCGAAGAACGTAGACATTGTTAGTGTATTTTTTGTTTAAATATATCTATAATCAAACAATTTTTTGATATTTTTTGTCTTTTCAATTGTGGAAATATCAATCTACCAAATAATCAGTTTATTTTCAGGTGAGAATCTGTGGTTAAGTCATCTAACATGTTTTAGTATATATATCTGAACGAATATCAAACTGTCTCTCTGACATTTCAAAATGGATGAAATCCCACCATCTCCAACTCATCCTCTCTAAAACTGTTCTACTTGTCATCCCAGCAAAACGATCCATACAGCACAATATCTCAATCCAAAATGACTTCCTATCTCTGGCTCCTTCAAAGGCAGTTCAAAATCTGGGTGTTGTGATTGATGAACACCTGACGTTTAAAGATCATGTTACCTCTGTTGCTCTTTCATGCTGCTTGCGCTGTATAACATACGAAAGATCAGACCATACCTAACACAACATGCCACCCAGCTCCTGGTGCAATCTACTGTCATCTCCCGCCTCGATTACTGCAACGCCCTTCTAACTGGTCTTCCAGCCTGTACTGTGAGACCTCTTCAAATGGTCCAGAACGCAGCGGCGTGTCTGGTCTTCAATCAGCCAAAAAGAGCACACGTCACCCCTCTGTTCATTGAGCTCCATTGGCTATCGCTAGCAGCACGCATCAAATTCAAATTGCTAACACTAGCATACAAAGTCCGAGATGGTACGGCTCCCATCTACCTGAATCCTCTTGCAAAGGCTTACGTCTCGGCCCGGCCGCTCCGGTCATCACAGGATCGTCGGCTAGCAGTGCCTACACCACGCTCAGGACAATCCAGACTCTTCCCATGCATCGTTCCACAAATGTGGAATGACCTACCAAGCACTACAAGAACAGGGGCTTCATTTTCGACTTTCAAGAAACTCCTGACGACCCTGCTCTTCAGAGAGTATCTTCTAAACTAGCACCCACCCTGCACCCGCCCCCCCCCCCCCTCTCTCTATCGTCCACTCCTTGTTCCCTCCTCTCCATGATTCATCATGCTGCCTCACTGCCACCTACGACTGACTGGAAATTGGTTGTTGTTATTGTTGTTGTTAGCCTCAAGGGCAACATGCCGATTATCACTTGGAAATCGCTTTGGACAGATAGATAGATTGACTCAAAATTATCATTGAGAATAGTTTAGAAATTATTTGTATCTCAAAAACCTGACTTTATACTTTCTAAAACTTATTTTTCCCTGACAACCTCCCTTTGGTAACTTCTGCATTGTGTCTCACTGCTTCAAAAATAATGCCGAGACACTGCAGTGATTTTAGAGATGCATGTCCATGTCTTCTGTTCTCAAACGCAGTGAGAAGGAATGCTGACCTTTTGGCACAATGCAAGAGTATACATTGATTAAGTGTGGGTTGCTGTGGTTTCATCCCCAAAACACACTGCAATTAGAGTCTATTTTTGTTGATATTCAGGGCTGCCTCGTGATGCCCCCCGCCACTGCCTCTACCCCGTCCTCGCCTGTCATCCTCCTTTGTGGAGCCCTCCCTTTTCCCCTTTATTTTTAAGTCAGTGTCTGAGTTTAGCAGAAGCTATCTGTGAACGTGTGTGTGCGAGCAAACGTGATCCCCTCTCTTAGATAGAAAATAGAACCAAGACAGGCCTGTTTAACCCAGATAGAGCAGCATTAGCCTCCAGTATAGCTGCAGTGCGTCATTGCACCTTTTTGCCTTAATAATGACCAATTCCACGCCAGTAGATTAGATTTTAAACATGTTTAAAGTTAAAGTCCCATTCGTTGTCAAACACTGGTGAAATTTCATCTCTGCATTCGACCCATCCCTGCAGGGAGCGATGAGCTGCAGACATGGCTGCGCTCGGAAACTATTTGGTGGTTTAAATTCCCAATCCATTAAAGCTGAGTGTCAAGCAGGAGGCATAACGTCTTTGGTATGACCCAACCGGGATTTGATCCCCAATCTCCCAGTCCCAGGGCAGACAGTTGATCTTTGTGGGAGAAAAAGCTCTGGTGCTCCTGTTTCAGGAAGTAAAAGTTAGCCAGAGGAGTGGGGAGCAAAACAAGGTAGGATTTGGAGTCTTACTTCCTGATATTTGGACAACTCAACTCTGATTGACTAACATCAACGCCACTCCTACTTTCCGCGATGCGAGAGCAGCATGTAAACGTAAAAGAGGTGTTTTACCCGCGAGTTCCCATCCAACCAGAAGCCTTTCAGATACAATACGAGAGCGAAAGTGTTCCACACAGCTGGTCCTGCGATTCGCAGTCGGCAAAGTCACAAACTTGCGAGAGAATTGCAACACCACACGTGATTTCGGAAGTCCACACGGTAAAAAGGAAGGGGAAAGACAGCTGCATGTATCATAAAAGGTATATGGTTTATTTTCTGTTCCTTTTACATGAGTGCTAATTTTCAGTGTGACGTAGATCTGTGTGGTTTTTCTAATCCAACTGTTTCCCCGTCTCTTTTCTATTGGTGACTAATGTAGGAAATAGGAATAGATGTTTAGCCTACATGTTAAACTCAGAGGGACTATTCACATCAAATAACATGTAAAAAATGGGTTTTCAGTGAACTTGCTCTCTAATGTTGCTGAACGTACTTTTGTTTTCCTAAAACCGCTGGCTGGACAGCTCCTGAATGTTTTTATGAAGCACACTTAAACCCACACCGATGCTTACCCTGCTAATGCTGAAGAGAAGACCAGGCTTGCCAGAGCACACTCCGGTAAAGCAGTATCTGAGCCTCCAGTAGAAGAGATGCTCCGAGATGAAGGTGATGAGGGAGAGCCCCATGGCCGTGGCCAGCATGTAAAACACCCCCGCCATGTTGTCCACGTCCAGCTGACTTGACATGACTTCGTTCTTCTCGTTGTGGCAGATCCCTGTCAGCCACTGGGCTTCTAGTTCCTCCATTTCACCTAAAAGTCAAAAGATGAGATGGACTCAGAAACTTCACAGGTATGTCCCCTGTCAAATAATCTGGAATGCAAATTTAAACTAATGCTGTTGCATCTCGTTTGGCCAAACTTGTGATGCATTCACAAGTTTGTTTGTTTTACTGCTCTTTGTTTACATTTAGATAAAAAATTCCATTTTTATAAGTATGATGTGCAAATTAGTAAAGGGGTTTAAAGGACCTCAGCCATCTAAGACCACTGGGAGGGGGTAACCATAAGGCTTAAGGCAAAAACACACAATGGGGCCACATTACCACAAAAGGCTGAGCACTTATGAATGACCAAAGGTTCTTGGATGCTGCCTCCACTTTGCAGCAAAGTGGCGCCGTTATTTTCTGATTCAGGCTTAAGTCTGAGCCATGTCACCTGAAAGAGGACTCTTATTTAGTTGCTTGTATCGAGGATTTTGTTTTTTCTATCATGTTCCAAATTTCCAATAGCTATAGGCACGGTTTGGAACAAACAGTGAGCAGTAAATCAAAAGGATCAGAGCAACGCTCTATTTTTTACAAACTAAATCCTGATGCATTGGTCCACGTTTCACTCCCTGCTGTCCAGTATCGTAAATGAACTTCTTCAGCTGAGGCAAAAGGTGCATTTCCACTCCAACACCTGGAACCTCTTTACTGGGAATTGTTTCTAGAGCTACATATTTTACCATTTTTCAGACAATGGGAAGACACTTCAGTGTAGAGTCTAACAGTTCTTGCAGGTCGAGAAATGCAGTGTTGGCGTTAAGTACATGGGATGCTACTGAACACAATCCTGCATTAAATAAGAGTTTGTACTTTTCAGTTTGACAAGGAAAAAAAGACATTATCACAGCCAAAAAGATTCTTTTTTTCCTGTGGGTAATAAAAATGATGGTGAAAAGCAACAAGGACCTTATCTTTTCTCATTCCTCCCTCGGTGCCCCTCCCCCCCACTCCTCTGTGACATTTGGCGTGTGGCTAATGCAATCTGTGTCATTCAGATCCTTATAACTAAGGCTGCTAGTGGGGAAAGACAAATATCATGCTGGTTCTTAGCTTGACGTCCCGGGGTGCAAACTTTCCAAATCATCATTAACCATTTAGTACAATGAAGAGAATCTCGTCACATTTAGGAATGACTTCATGGAAGTAGCCAAAGGATTAATCAGATTATGTCTTACTCAGTACCAGAGGTGTGGACTCAAGTCACATGACTTGGACTTGAGTCATTATTTTAATGACTTCTGACTTGGTAAAATCTATAAAGACTTACAACTTGACTCAGACTTGAACGCCAATGACTTGCGACTTGAATCGACTTGCATCTGTTGACTTGATGATGACTTGAGCATATTTGATATTTTAGCACAAAAGTGGCACGACACGGACAAAAATCATAACTCATTCTTGGTTCGGGGTTTGATTTACTGCTAAATGCAGCAGCACTTTGTTTATAACCCGTTTCAGTTGCACTTTCTGCTGGTTTGAGCAAATAAATGAAGCTTTAAGAAGCTTTATTTCTGGAATTTATTTATCATCATTGTCAATGAATAAAAGTTGGACAGATGACTTGATTGTGATTTGGAAATTCAAAGTAAAGGACTTGAACTTGACTTGGACTTCCACGTTAGTGACTTTGGACTCGACTTGGACTTGATTGACTTGGACTTGGACTTGACTCGATACTTGACTGGAAAGACTTGTGACTTACTTCTGACTTGCAAAGCAGTGACTTGGTCACACCTCTGCTCAGTACTAAGACGGATTGTTTGGTTTTAACAAGTCTGTCTTTCTTCTTTCTTAAGGTTAGATTAATCTAAAGAAGAAATTGCCAGGACCTGCTATACTGTTGCTAAAATTCACTTTTTGTTCACTAAAGTGATCACTGGGCTCAGGGTAAAGTCTGGATACCAGTCAGCTAGAACAGGAACAAGAAAGTTGTAATACTGCCTCAGTTTGAAGAATCTTTGGTTGAAAGAAATCTGTAAGACATGGGAACGCTTTAGACAACATTTTTCTGTTATGATGGTATTGTTAAACTGAACTCTATTAAGTACACCTCTTAAATAGCTTGCTATCACAAATAGCCAATTACATGGTGTAGGAGTTGGTAAATTTAGTGCTTTAAAGCTTAATATATTACCTTTACTTATGACCAATAAGCTGTGATACTCTATATAAATATAGAATATCAACCTGCTTGGCCTTTGGATGTTTAATCAGAAGATTCTAGGATTCTTTGTTTATTCAGGGATTGTAGAACCCTTCGTCTTGATTCAAGGAAAGAGTCAGGTTTATAAAAGGTAAGAATTAATTTTCCAAAAATTAAAACATGTCAAGTTAACTAATATTTACTGCGATGGATGGATCTAGGTGGATGAAATGTGGCATTTGGTGACTATATGTGAATGTGATGTTATCAGAACCTTTGTATCTAGAAGAACCGAGTTCTGGGTAGAAAAGGGAAGAATTTGGTTTGCGTTAAGCTATGAGGTTGATTCTTATCAAAAAGGCATCAGACGCTATCTGTCATGTCTACGTAACCCAAGTGGAGACTCTCTTTTGGATCCAAGATGTCAGGGGGTCGGGTGACCCCAAGGTACCGAAGTCCGTAGGAAAACCGCAGTACGACCAGGTCAGTCCAGAGTCATCTCCAGTTCACGACAAGTTGCAACTAGTTTGCGTCTCGAATGGATTCTTAAGGAATCTTGCATCAGCTTTGATCTGCAGGAACCATTTGCTTTGTCAGCAGTAGGCAGCTTTTAGCAGGGTTTTGGCAGTTTGCCAAAAATGCTCATGGTTAAAGAGGGGTCACTCCGCACGACCGTTCCGAAGCGCTCTCTAGAACTGAATGCTGAATGATGGGAAGCTGGAATGCGACTGCTGAATCACCACAGTGATTCTATTTCAATATTCTCATATTATGATTTACTAACAAATCAGAATCGGCCATGTAAAAAGAGTTTTACCAAGAACCTCAGAACCTCAGAAAACACGCCTTCTTGAGATACCGGATGCTCTGATCTGGGGTAAAAAAATATCATTGGGTAACTGACTGTCTTCACGCTCTGTGATTGGCCAGTCAAATAGAGCGCCCGCCCCTCCCTACACACAAAACTCTGCAGCCGGAGCTCACAGCTCAGTCCATGTCCGGTCCATCCACGCACACACACAGACAGTAAACGGATCTCTCTGTGCTTGCTTCACTGTTCACGTTTCTTCATTACTCCACATGTTTTCTTCAGTTTGCTTCTTTTTAAAGTTACTTTAAAGTTATTTAAAGTTACTTTTTTCGTAACGTACGTGGTGCATTTGATAAGACTGAGCTGAAAATGGCTCGTGCTGCGTCAGTCTCTGCCTCCGCTCCGGTCGGGTTTTTTTTCCTCTCTCTCTCTCTCCTCTTCCTCAGGATCCACTCCCTCTTTCCTATTCACTCTTTCTCTTTCTTTACATTTTTAAAATCACAATTGTCTATTTTTTGCTCATTTTAAATATATTTTAATCATTTTCTAAATTCTTTTTTCTATTTTACATGTTTCGTTTTTTGTGAAGCGTCCCGTGATTTTTATCTTGAGAGGCGCTATAGAAAAGATCTTTTCTTCTCGCTCTCTCTCTTAATTCATGCACTTAAATATTAATGTTCTGATTTTATTGAAAAACTTGTTCTGTAATAGTTCCTTTACTATTGCGATCAAAAACATTTAATCTCAACTTTGAGGCTGCTCTGTAAATAGTTTTCAAATAAACAATACACATAGCAACTTCTGATCAGACTTAAAATAACGTATTGATGTAAACCACACCCACTTCTGGTTAAACCACACCCACTTCCGGGTTAGGCCACGCCCACACAGAGTACAGCTACAGATAGTGGTGTACTCGCTCATCCCTAAGATCTACGTTCCTACCCTCACCTATGGTCATGAGCTTTGGGTAGTGACAGAACGAGATTGCAGATACAAGCGGCCAAATGAGCTTTCTCAGCAGTGTGGCTGGGCTCTCCCTTAGAGATAGGGTGAGAAGCTCGGTCATCCGGGAGGGGCTCGGAGTAGATTTGCTGCTCCTCCACATCGAGAGGTGCCAGTTGAGGTGGCTCGGGCATCTAGTCAGGATGTCTCCTGGAAGCCTCCCTAGTGAGGTTTTCCGGGCACGTCCAACTGGGAGGAGGCCTAAAGGGAGACCCAGGACACGGTGGAGGGATTATGTCTCTCACCTGGCCAGGGAACGCTTTGGGATTTTCCCGGAGGAGCTGGCCCAAGTGGCTGGGGAGAGGGAAGTCTGGGCCTCTCAACTTAGGCTACTGCCCCAGCGACTCGACTCCGGATAAGCGGATGAAAATGGATGGATGGGTACAGTTTTATATTTTCCAAGGTAAAAGGAACGCACCGTGATGTCCGTCCTCCACACAGCATAGGCAGAGCAGAGTAGACGCTGCACCGACTACTGCCTATGGTGGCCACATTTGCGGGTTCTACTTTTAATAAACTCTATGGTTAGTTAACAGGGTGTTTTAGCTAGGCTTTAGCTCCTTGGAGATCTGGAGCTCGAACGTCAAAAGAACGCTTTTATAAACCCGTTCACGCACACCAGAACCAATGCACTCAGTTTAATGTTTGTCAGGCAAAATACGAATGAGTTCAGTTCACATTCACAAAAAAAAAATGAACAAGTTCACGAACGAGCGTTTAATAAACACGTTCGGGCACAACACTGGCCTTTGGAAGCAAAGCGAAGAGCTAAAACCAGGGTGAACATCAGCGCGGCCTACACTAGTTTGATGGAGCTAAAGGAGGCTAAAAAAATCACAGACTGATGGTGACTTTGTTGCTACTGGACTTTTAAGTAATAATATTTTTGGTCGAACACTGTGGATCTTTTTACATCGTGCCTTACTTCAGTATTAGTTGGCTTGTGATAGTATTAGCTCATTGCTAGCACTAGCTACAGTAGGCTGCGGCAGGGTTCTTTACAACTATAAGGAAAGAAGAAGTGGGAAAACTTATTTAATGTTGATTTAAGTAGTTGCGCGGTGGACCTAAATCTTAGCGGCTGATATTCACATTTGGAAAACTTGAACCTTCAACTCTAACAGTTGTTTGGAAGAATTCTAAAGTAAACTGAAACAGCAGCAGGAGTTCATATTTGGTGCATCTTTGTACTACTACAGGTAAAGAAACAGGATAGGACATCTGTTTTACACACTTTTTGTCCTGGCTTTTGTTACCCTTAAGGAATAATCCTTATCTTTTTCTCATTTTTATCTATGGGAAGCCATGCTTTTCTCCTGATGCACCTATCTCAGTAGCATATGCCAGGCTACACCATCAGTGTCATTCATCAAGAACCTGCCTTCCACTTACTCTTATTCCTCTCTTTACTCTATCTTTGACAATCACACATCCAAAAGTCACTTTCCTGATGGTACAGTAAACCATAAATGCCCTGCCCTTTTATAGCATCTCCAAAGCACTTTCACTACAGTCATTCACCCATTCACTCACCGAGGGTGATGAGTTACAATGCATTTTAAACCAAGAGGAAACATATGAAGCAAAACAAAAACAGTGAAGTTGATTTAGTCTAACTTATCTACGCTTGCACACTCCGAAGTCCCAATACCATTAGTTAGACCAGAATGTTGCCACACCAGTGTTCATTTAATCAACTTTAATGCACTTAATGCTGCTGGCTGTGAATTCTCACACAGGCAAAATGCCTCAGTTGTAAAATGTAAATGAATCCGTCTCTACACTTTAGCTGTCTCCCTTTCTCAGTTTTGCAATAAGAATCTGTTTATGTAAAAACCCTCAGAGGCCACTGTAATAAAGGAATGCCGGGATTCAGACGTTAGGATTCACACACACACACACACACACACACACACACACACACACACACACACACACACACACACACACACACACACACACACACACACACACACACACACACACACACACACACACACACGAGTGAAATAACACACTAATACACTCTGCCCTACACTTAGAGCAACCTTTGTGTCAAACGACTATTTATTCATCTCTACTTTCCATTTATGCTTTCTGCACACAAACCCATGGAGGATTGTTTGTTCTGAGCTTGAAAGGAACAATGTAACCTTGCCAGCTCTCCAACATTCACAATGCAACTTTGAATCTGACCTGCAGACATGTTCATAGTAGTTCACACCTTCAGACATGTGACCATGGTAAAAAAAAGAAGGCCCTAAGGACCCTCAGAAAGAAGAGGGTGGGGAGTCACTTGTGAGAACTCACTACAATTTAAAAGCTTGATACTTTTCATTTTGAAGTGTTTAAGCTCCTTGGATGCCCTGCATCAATAGCCTTGCACAGCCTACAAATCAGAAACTTTTCCCCCTCAACATAAAAAAATGTCTAGCCTGGAAATCTAGACAAACCGTTGGAGTAGCAAAAGCATTTGCTCTGGGGGTTGATCTAGCCACGCTCCATTACAGCCTCAGGAGCTCCACCGTTAGAGTGATCGGTTTTCTGTCTGGCCAATCACAGCGCTCTATGATTGTAGAAAGTGTGGGCATGCCAGCGTCAGAGCTGTGATGGACAAAAACTACAAAGATGGTGTCGACTCAGGAACAGTGCTTGTTTAAAACACATTTGGCATCAAATTTAGACAATTTAAATTTGGGCTTTTCTTTGCACCATGAGCAGATAGAAATACTTCGTCTCTATCTGGAGTATTTCTCTTATCCGATGGCACCATCTAGTGGTTGACAAGCATATCACACAAATAGCCTCGTTTCATTTTTTTTAAGATGGCGACTTCACGTTTCTTGTTTATGAATGTGCTTCTGTAGCCAACAAACAGAGCTAAAACACGTTGTTTTACAAGAATCATTCTCATGCCGTGTTCTCATATATTTATATTTTAGAGACTTACTTGTCCGTGAAAAGTTCATCAACTCTGCATCAGCCGAGGTATTCCTTAAAATTGAAGCATCTAAGCGGTAGTCAAATGCTATTGGTTAGTTCTGATCGGCGCTCAGTTTCCTATTACATGGAGCTCTGTAGGGCAGGAGGCGTGGTTAGCAAAAAACAAAAGACATATTGCGTCACATGATAAGAGAATCACTTTTATGGATTTCTGCAAACTCCAGAAAGATACTTTAAGTAATGTTTTTCCAAAAAGTATGTATTTGCTTCTTTGACGGTGTATGAAGGACTGCCCTGCTGACCGATTTTCGTAGCATTGAATACAAAACAATGTTCTTATCTCTGATTGCTCTTGGCGTTGTCCACTTTTGGGTGGAGACAGTTTAAAAGACAACCGTAGATTCCACCCAGCGACTCAGTTCTGTCTATGGGTCAAGGGGCAGCAGTAGCCCAACAGGTTGAGCGGACTGTCCAGTAATCAGAAGGTTGCATGTTCAATCCCGGGTCCGGACAGAGAATTCTGCTGTTGTGTTCTTGGGCAAAACACTTAACCCACCTTGCCTGCTGGTGGTGGTCGGAGGGATCGGTGCGCCTGTGCTCGGCAGCCTCCTCTCTGTCAGTGCACCCCAGGGCAGCTGTGGTTACATCGTAGCTCATCAGCACCAGTGTGTGAATGGATGAATGATACACTGTAGTGTAAAGCGCTTTGGAGTCCTTACTCTGAGAGGCGCTATACAAGTGCGGGTCATTTATCATTTATCATTTGTGGCCAAACTATAAATTGACATGTATAGGATGGCTTGCCAGGCTAATAATTGTCCTCTAAGACCCAAATTCATTAAAATATTGTGCATCTTTTGCAAATGCAATTTTGATTATAGCATCTCAGTTGAATTCATATCACCCTTGTATAGAAATATCTCACAGTCTGCTTTCAAAACGATTTGATTCCCAACAAAGTGTGATGTTTGTAACTGGGAAAAATGTTACCACTGATGGTATTTTTTAGCTCAGGGAAATGAAACAAAGTTAAGCTTCTGGTTTTCTACTTTTAACTTCACAAAAACTAATTTGTGAATAATGCTGAGAAGGGGAAAGTAGCAGGAGAATTGACATTGCTGTTTGCACTTGTGCTGCTGAAAGTTAGTGAACGTGCCAGTGCTCACCGTTGTATGTTCAGCATATACCACCGTTAGTGTTTAAGCCCTTTACCACAGCGTAGATGGTGGTACGAGGTCAGAATGTGAACACAACATTTCTATGTGTATGAGTCTTACCATCTCCAATGATTGCTAGGATGGCAAGATCCACCTGTCGCTTCCAGTAGGAACCCTTCTGCAAAGCAATGCCGTAACCAGTAGTAGCAAAGATGTACCTGGAAAAAAGCGGAACAAAAGTTAGCTCATTCCTCCAAACCTTGAGTTTAAAAATGTCAGTTTGAAATTTTAATCTTGAACATGAATGTTTCGGCTAACTAAACAGAAGAGCTTAGCAGGTTTTGAAGCTCAGGTTAAGCTAACACAATATGGTTCGGCTATCCAGATAAATCAGATAGTTATTGTCTTTCTTATTGCGCCAGAATAGTACAGAGAACTTGGGTTGCTTTGTCGGGTGATGTCAAAAAAGTACACACCTTTTTTTGTTGGGTGCACTATTTTGAAACTGGACCAAACTGCCTGAACTAGGTCATGCAATTACGACAGCTGCTGGGGTGCTACTGGCTGAAGCAAGAAATGATGAGGAGGAAAAACTATGATGAAGAAAAACACAGCTCATCAGTTGGTCAGGACCATCTAAACTCAGTTAGTCTGTTTACAGAAAAGCAACAAAAAAAGTAAAGTTCTGCTGTTGGCTTTTTCCTCTTCATGTTGTTGCACTTCTTTTATGGTTCTCTGGATTATTTTTTATTTTATTTTATTTAACCTTTATTCACCCTGGAAAAAAACTCCCATTGAGATTTAAAACCCCTTTTTCAAGGGAGTCCTGCAGCAAATATCCAACACATTCTCACACCCAAGGCGTCAAAATATGACGCGTGTAACCAAGACTCAATATATGACGATTCGGGACGCCCCAGCGCGTCAGGAGACGACGATCAGGGACATGCTGGGTCATGTGGCTACGCTGGCGTCACTGTTTAATGCGCGCGGCCACACGGACATTGTTCGACTATTTAACCTTCCCCTGACCCCAATCCAAACCTTAAGGTCAATTAACTGTGACATTAAGGTTAGGATTGGGGTGAGGGGAAGGTTAAGTAGTTCACAAGTAGTTCTAATGTCCGCCTCACCACCGGCGTCGGATACCGACGCTCTGGGACGCTGCATCAGCTGTTTGTCCCTGATCGTTGTCTCCTGACTCGCTGGGGCATCCCGAATCGTCATATATTGAGGCTTGGTCACACGCGTCATTTTTTGATGCCTTGGGTATGAGAATGTGTTGTAACATCACACAAATATACAAGACAATATTTACAATTTTAACTTGTATGAAAACAATCTAAAATAAAAGATAATCTGGATAAACTGGATAATCAGTTTGTATTTCAAAACCTCCACCAGGATGCCCTTGCAAGGGAACCAAGACCCATTTGCCTAAACAAGGAGGAGAGTTTCTGGAAGCTTATCTAACGATGGCCCATTTAAAGTCAACCAAACAAATCTAGTGTAATAATTTTCACATCACAATCAGGGTTTGAATTATGGGGGGGGGGGGGGGCTAGGGGGACGCTGGCTCCCCCCAAAGAGAGATGGCCTCCCCGGAAGCTCTCAACTAACACACCCTGGCGGAGCCCAAAAAATGATCCTGTGTACACCCCCTGGGTTTAACGGAAGTGATCGAATGGACGATCCCCCTCCCCTTCGCTCTTATGGCATTGCCATGGCCACAGTTATATGAGAAACACAAAAACTGGCTGCTGTCCAGTAAAACTACCAACAGGCCTCCTAACAAATCCTGTTTACACATAGGCTTATCTGTGGAAGTTGTCTCTGATCACATACAGTCCTAAAACGGCTGTAATGAGGGATTACTTTTAAGCTGACTGTTATCACTTTGGTTCCAGACACATTTTGGTCATGGTCTAAAAATGCCAACTCCTCTTACATCGATGAGACGCATCACTGTCCCAAAAAGAAACCATTCCAGATCTAACGCGCCAGAGCAGAGCAGCCCTGCAGGGTCTTTTCTTCATCAATGATTTGGAAAAAAGAACTGGAGTTTCAGTTACCCGCTGCCAATGGTCACCAGCTTGCATCCCTCATCTCTGCCAGCCATGTAGTTCAACACTGCTGCATCATAGATGAAGGCATCCAGTTTACTGCAAAGGAAGGAGCAAACAAGAAGCTTTACCATTAAAAAAAGACAGCATTAGAAGTGCACAGTAGGAGACAGAAAGCAAAAGAGGGTGTTATGTCGTACAATGTTGGTTGCAGATCAGTTGTGAAGTATTAAATCATATCCGATTGGACTGCAATCCGTGCATAATCCCAAAAAAACGCACACAGGGAATGACGGTGGTTCAACACAGCACACTTCAGGGATGATAGGACCTCAGAGGCACACGGACAACAAAAACAAGCTTCAAACCCACTCAAACATTGACTCTGTCCCGCTCTGCTTCTCCTTCGTACTCAGAAACAAGTCGAATCCGAACCAAAAGAAAAAAGATCCAAGCTTCGGACTGACATTTCCAACGTAACTGATACTGTCACCAGCCACTGGTCTCTCCCTATCGCAGCACTCGCACATGTTCACACACAAACACCCCGCTCAAACACTCAGAGCCCTGCTAATAGTCCAGCAACTGGCTGGCATTTACTGAATGTCAGATCCAGCCCTCCGACGGAGGCTCCCAGTCAATAGTTTAGCCGTGTAATTAGCTTAAACCCAGCACTGGTCTGTCCTAACATGAACAACCCAGGAGCAGATATCGACCAAAGGGTATTTTTAGTCCGATGGTGGGTCGGTGAATGTCTGTGGACTCTGGGCAAATGGGATCTGAATCTGAGGGTTTCACCACGCCTGTCACATCTTTCCATGAGTGAGTAAAGCTAGCAGTACCTGTCCAGGGCAGCTTTAACAACACTGGATTTGACTTTCTTGGTTTGACTTTGTTTCTTAGGTTTCTTCTTCACTACTAAGTGAAAAACATTTAAAATGAAAAACAATTTTCTGTCTTTTGTTTGCAGGATCTATCGTTTTTAATGAGTGTCAATCCACATTGAACAAGCTGACCGTGCCCAGCCCACAAGATTAGACTATTCATAGTAACAGTTTGTTCATTAGACCATTCGTTGGGGTTTTGCTTATTTTCCCAATGAAATTAGTTGACATCATTTTGGATTTCAATTAAAAAAAATAACTAGAGTCTTTGAAGCAATTAAGGTGTGGGAAACCATTTTGCGCTGTTTCGCACCATCTTCTCTACGCACATCTTCAGAGCATCTTCTAAACTAGCACCCTCCCTGCACCCGTCCCCCTCTCTACTGTCCACACCTTGTTCCCTCCTCTCCATGATTCATCATGTTGCCTCACTGCCACCCACGACTGACTGGAAATTGTTTGTTGTTGTTGTTATTGTTGCTGTTAGCCTCAAGGGCAATACGCCGATTATCACTTGTAAGTCGCTTTGGACAAAAGCGTCTGCTAAATACATAAACATCAATTTTTAAAAAAAGCTTTCATAGAATAAACTTTTTCGTCTATTTTTCAACTTCATTTTGTACTTGAGTGAAGTTCGTATATATATAACATTCACCCCCCATAAAATAATCATGATTTAAAGGGATACTAGGCAGTTTTGCTTGCTTTTAGCACCCAGTAGAATTCCTTATTAATTCTCTGTGGTTAAATCAAAAATGAAACTTATCTCCTTGCTGTGCATTTGTCTTTATAGCACCAGCTGAAATGGCTCCTCAGCCTTCATTAGTGTCTACAGAAGGGATTCGGCACAAAATCAAACAAATCAGCTGTGTTTATGATCTAAAGCAGGCAGGAAACGTGCTGGAAGCAGACTCCAGCTCCACTCCACTCCACAGCTCCCTTCGCTTGCAGGAAACGACCCGCCAACTCTAAAGTTGCAAATGCAGTATTTTGGTCACAGGCGGCAGTGAGGTTTGAGTAACATTTCATTAACTCTGTAAAGGGTCATTTTAGCACATACTGGCTCAAGAAAATAAATAAAAAACATGAAAAAGTTGCACAATATTCCTTAAAGGCAACAATTTTTTAAAGAGAAAAATAACTTATAAATGTTTAAAACTTTACTACAATCTAGTTTTAACCTTCTAAAACAGAAATGGGCTTTACATTTGGAACAGACTTTTGAAAAAAAAAATCATCAATGTTTCTTGTCTGCTAATTATAAATGCAGATACTATTCCAGCTTAATCTCTCTCTCTCTCTCTCTCTCTCTCTCTCTCTCTCTCTCTCTCTCTCTCTCTCTCTCTCTCTCTCTGCGTGTGTGTGTGTGTGTGTGTGTGTGTGTGTGTGGTTCCCGTAAGACCTACAGAAATGATAAACTGTATAAATGTCATGCATTAGGAATTTTACGCCCTTAAATGGTTTGATCTTTGATCTCTCCTTAAGGACCAATCTGTCCTTTGAGCCAAGGCGTTTAATTGGATCAAGCTTCAATGTTATTAAGCAATCAAAAATGTCCTCTTTTGTTTGCGTTTCACCAAACTTTGTCTTTTAACTTTTCACTTTTTTCCATCCTTTCTCAGTTTCTATTTTATTCCTTAAGGAACTTTTTTCCTGTTCTGTTTTGGTCTCTTTAATCTGTTTCCCCTTCTTGTCTTGTTTTGTCCTTTTTTGATCCAATTACCATTTTCTCCACTTACCTCCTTTATTTCTTCCAGACACATGCTTTTCCATTTAGCTTTTCGTCTACATTGATCACTTTTTATTTCCTTCCATAGTTCTTCATCTTTCTACCTTCTATCTTTCTGTCTTTCTTTTTACCCTTTTTAAATTGCTCAACTCCTTCCATCTGTCCTTAGTTACAAAAGTTAATTTATGTCAGTAATTCAACTTAAAATGTGAAACTAATATATGAGATAGACTCATTACACGCAAAGCCAGATTAAAAAATAAAAATTAAGATTATGGTTTACAGCGTATGAAAACCCCAAATCCAAAATCTCAGACAATTAGAATATTGTGAAAAGGTTCAATATTCTAGACTCAAAAGTGTCACACTCTAATCAGCTAATCAATACAAAACACAAAGACACAGTTTCCTGAGCCTTTAGAGGGTTTCTCAGTCCAAGCAGAATTATTTAAATAAATGAACGTTGGCACCATATTCTAATTTTTTGTGTTTCACATGTACACACACACACACACACACACACACACACACACACACACACACACACACACACACACACACACACACACACACACACACACACACACACACACACACACACACACACGCACACACACACTGACACAAAGAGACCCCCTAGCTTCTGCTGTTCACAATAAGGAAGACATTCATCCCAATCTCAAAATTACTGCCCCCCCCCCCCCCCCCCACACACACACACACACAATAATAAAACACAAACTGCCAATCTTTAAACGCTGATGACGACACACACATGTCCTTACCCTGATTTGAGGCTGACGAGTGCATCCACGACTCCAGTTTGGTGATATTTCACCATGTACTGGTGCATGGCGGGGTAGTTCTTTCGGATGTTTCTCTCAGTGGATCCATTCGGGACGGTCCCAAAACGGAATGGAGGTGAATATGCATACGGGTTCTGAAACTGTGGCGGGATTCAGAAACAAAGAGACAACAGTTGAGTTCTAGCAGATAAAAGAAGCAGTGGATGAAGTTAGTTGCCGGACTGAAGATTGTTTTTCTCTAACTGTTTAAGATAATTTTTGCATTTTATCGCTTCAAAAAAGTCAGAAAGTTGCACAGTGTCCGCCCCGCTTTTTCCTAGCCCAAAATAACCACAGGAAGGAAGTCATCACAGGCTGGGAGGTAAGTGTCAACACATGAATCAATGGAAAAATACCTAGACTGCAATTTCAATCCACTGGGACAGCTCTTTTTAAAAAGGACAAGGGGGCAGAGACGAAAAAGTGTGACAAATGTTTGATATCTATTTTAGATCTTTTGAGAGAAGTTCGGTTTGTTGGGGCAGCTGTCAGCGACTAGAGGAAATATAGACACCCCTTCACACAGGCTAAGTAAAACCAGCTATTATCCATGTGGCCTTTACAGATCGTCATGTATGTATTAAGAACCCAACAAACTCTCCATCGGACATCATTAAACTGGCTAGATCTGATCATTTGGAGCATGTAGAAAACTTTTAAGACTAGGCTTGCAACATTTTTATTTGATAGGGCCTATGATTAAAATTTGTGCCCCTTAGCCACTAGACCTGCTAGATCCTCTCAGTCGCACCCTTGGCTAAATGATACCCTCCGGTCTCTACGCACCAATCTTAGAGCTGCAGAACGGAAATGGCGCAAAACAAAAGATCCTGGTGATCAATTGAAATTTCATGAATTACTGTCCTCATTCTCTGCCAGCATCACTCATGCAAAGAAAGCTTTCTACACTGACAAAATTCTCTGCTCTACTGACTCTAAGAAACTATTTTCAACATTCAAAACTCTGCCCAACCCTCCGTCTCCACCTCCAACCAACAATCTATGAGCTGACAACTTTGCCTCATTCTTCACCGAAAAAGTGGCAGCGATAAGCAAAGAGTTTACCCAACTGGCCACTCCTGAACATTCTCTACCACAAACTCCTTCTAGCCCAACCATCTCAAGCCCTACTGCTTCATTTTCCTCTTTTTCCCCTCTCACTGAGAACTGTGTGTCCAAGCTTCTCACGTGCAGCCGCCCTACTACATGCCCACTCGACCCCATTCCGACTAAGCTGCTCCAAGCTATTGCTCCTACAGTAGCCGCAGCAGTCACACATGTGATCAACGCTTCACTGACATCCGGTACATTTCCCACCTTTCTCAAGCATGCTCAGGTTAAACTGCTGCTAAAAAAAAACCATCTCTTCCTCCAAATCATGTGGAGAACTACTGACCTATTTCTCTCCACCCTTTTCTGTCCAAAATCATTGAAAGGGTGGTTTTCAAGCAGATCACAGAATACCTCTCACAAAACTGTCTGCTTGACCCTTACCAATCTGGGTTCAAAAAGGGCCACTCCACTGACACTGCTCTGTTAGCAGTGACGGAATCCTTAAAAGACGCTAGAGCGACTGCCAAATCCTTAGTGCTTATCCTGCTCGACTTATCGGCTGCATTTGACACTGTCAACCATGGCTTCCTTTTGTCCACACTCTCTAGCATGGGCCTCACAGAGAAAGCACACGCCTTGTTTGAATTGTACCTCACAGGACGATCATTCAGTGTATCTTGGCTTGGACAGTCCTCTACCATGCACCATCTTGCCACAGGATTCCCCCAGGGCTCTGTACTAGGACTTCTTCTCTTTGCCATATACACCACCACACTGGGTGAGATCATTCGATCACATGGCTTCTCCTACCACTGCTTTGCAGACGACACACAGCTCTGTCATTTCCACCGGACGACCACACTGTCTCTGCACGAATATCAAACTGTCTCTCTGACATATCAAAATGGATGAAATCCCACCATCTCCAACACAACCTCTAAAACTGAACTGCTTGTCATCCCAGCAAAACCATCCATACAGCACAATATCTCAATCCAAAATGACCTCCTATCTCTGGCTCCTTCAAAGGCAGTTCGAAATCTGGGTGTTGTGATTGATGAACACCTGACCTTTAAAGATCATGTTGCCTCTGTTGCTCGTTCATGCCGCTTTATGCTGTATAACATACGAAAGATCAGACCATACCTAACACAACATGCCACCCAGCTCCTGGTGCAATCTACTGTCATCTCCTGCCTCGATTACGCCCTTCTAACTGGTCTTCCAGCCTGTACTGTGAGACCTCTTCAAATGGTCCAGAATGCAGCGGCGCGTCTGGTCTTCATTCAGCCAAAAAGAGCACACATCACCCCTCTGTTCATTGAGCTCCACTGGCTACCGCTAGCTGCACGCATCACATTAAAATTGCTAACACTAGCATACAAAGTCCGAGATGGTACGGCTCCCATCTACCTGAATCCTCTTGCAAAGGCTTACGTCTCGGCCCGGCCACTCCGGTCATCACAGGATCGTCGGCTAGCAGTGCCTACACCACGCTCAGGACAATCCAGACTCTTCTCTTGCATCGTTCCACAAATGTGGAATCACCTGCCAAGCACTACAAGAACAAGGGCTTCCTTTTCGACTTTCAAGAAACTCCTGAAGACCCTGCTCTTCAGAGAGCATCTTCTAAACTAGCACCCTCCCTGCATCCGTCCCCCTCTCTAGTGGCCACTCCTTGTTCCCTCCTCTCCATGATTCATCATGCTGCCTCACGGTCACCTACGACTGAATGGAAATTGGTTGTTGTTGTTGTTAGCCTCAAGGGCAACATGCCGATTATCACTTGTAAGTCGCTTTGGACAAAAGCGTCTGCTAAGTACATAAACACAAACATAAAATCTGATGTTAGCCCAGATCTGGACGAGTGGGGGAGTAGAGGGAGGTGGAGCGTACAGTCGGTAAAGACGGCTCCCCCTTGCCCTGCCTCCAACATGCCTCCATCTAAAAGGCTAGGTTATCCAGAGTTATCTCTGTAGTTATGCTGCTATAGGCTTAGACTGCTGGAGGACACACCGACCACTTTCCACACTCGACTACTTTCTTCTACAATTTGCTCTTTAACTGTATTATTTCCTGCTATTTCAGCTGTTAACTTTTATTTTTTCTTTAAGTGTTTTCTCCCCAGAAGAAGCAACAATGTTGTTCTGCTGAGCTGTGGTGGCCTCAAGGAGGGGGGCCATCGGCTTGAACATTGCTGCTAACCATTCTTCCGCTCCTGATAGTAACGTTTTACTTTCTTTGACATTGAATGTGCTACTACTAGTTTACCCATTTAATTATAGATTCACTAGGATAAATACAATAAAGTTTATATATCACCAAATAGAATATTTACTAAGAAATCACAATATAACCATAGAAACATTACATGTTATACATGTTGTGTGTGTGTGTGTGTGTGTGTGTGTGTGTGTGTGTGTGTGTGTGTGTGTGTGTGTGTGTGTGTGTGTGTGTGCGTCTGCTCTGACTTTTCCATCCCCAGTCAGTCATGGAGGATGGCTGCTTATACTGAGCCAGGATCCTCTGGAGGTTTCTTCCTGTTAAAAGGGAGTTTTCCTGTCCACTGTCACTAAATGCTTGCATAGTATGAGGATTGCTGTAAAGGCTCTGACTAGTCTGTGACTTAATGAAATTTGCTGGGTTCCTTATATAGGAAACTTTTTTCTGATTGGCTTAATGAACTGACCTGTATTGGAATGTTTACTATGTGAAGTGCCTGGAGACGACGCTTGTTGTGATTTGCTGCCATATAAATAAACTTGAATTGAATTGAATTAAAGCCTTGATAGACTGTATTGGTAATTGTCATTTTGGTAATGTGTTGGGGTCCTGGCTGATGTATGGTGGCAGCTTATCCAGGTTGTGAGATCTTCTACTGTTTTCAGCATTGTGTTGAGGTGGAGGGATCTTAGCAGACATTGTCCAAATTGAGCCATGTGTTAGGATCATAGTGGGAATTTTAAATCATGTAAAGTGGGCTGAGGGTGTAAGATGGCGATATGAGTATGCAGACAAGTAAAAATAATAATGTTTTGCTAAGTACTTAAAGAGTAAGTCACCCCCAAATCAACATTGTTTTGCTGATAAACTACATAAATGAGTGTCAAATCCTGCTTTAGACACGTGTGGTCAATAATTTGGCACTTTAGTGCATCTTAGTTAAAATTTTAATATTCAGACTAAAACTCAGTGTTGTACTGTCTTCAGGTAAAATTTCTGCACTGCATTTGAATGTAAATCTGCCACCCCTATTGGCTAAGAGGTACAGTACACAATGGGTTAGCTGGTACATTATGATGTCACAATGTTATTGTGAGCCTGTGTGTGTGTACTTGTTAGCGGCCCCCTACCAGTGTCTTACTCCACTCCCACTTCCTGTTTGAAAAATACAACAAATGCAGTTGCCTGGCAAACTGAGAGCCGCTAACAAATACACACACACACACACACACACACACACACACACACACACACACACACACACACACACACACACACACACACACACACACACACACACACACACACACACACACACACAGACAAGCTCACAACGGCATTGTGACATCTTATGGTACCAGCTGACGTCATAGGGTACCTCTTAGCCAATAGCAATGGCAGATTTAAATTCAAATGCAGTGCTGAGTTTTTACACCATCAGTTTTAGGCATAATTTTTTAATTTTTAGCTAAGACGCACTAAAGTGCCAGCCCAAAAAAGTAGATTTGAGGGTGATTTGCTCTTTAAAGCCTTGAAGAGGTGCAATTAACACTGAGGGAAGTTTTCAAAAATGATTGCACGCTAGTCACTTCCTAGTATTCAGTACAACCTGCAGCTTTTCCTTTTCGCTACCCTCATCAATGTTCTTTTCTTTCCCTTTCCTTCCCACTACTCTCTGCTTGGTAGGTTGTACCAGTGTGCATGTCAAGAGTTTTGCAGCACAGTGTTTTTCTTACCTTGCTGGAGACGTACCATCCATTAGGGTACAACGACATTTTATTATCTCCCCTGGTACCACAGTGTCTCAGTTTGCATGTTTGTGAGG